CATTCCCACTCATATTTAGGGGAAGGCTCATTTACCGTTGCAATTGTAACCCTGTCTGCAATTCGTGGAGTCTATGGATGCTTCTGCATGAATGGGTAAGCAAATTAAATGAATAAAATGTTAGCAGAGGTGAGAGTAAGGACCCATCCCCCACCAACCTTCTCCCATTTCCGGGTGCAGAAAATTCTGATAAGGATGAAGTTCAGATTGCTGCCTTCCTCAATGAAAATGGGCAGTCTTGTCTTCTAATCCCTCCTAACCAGCCTTGCAACTCCTTTGAGTTGTATGAAGGATGTCAACACAACCTGCATCTTGTGGACTCATAGAAATCTGAGAAAGCAAAGTTAGACAAATGCCCCTTCGCAGTTCACTTCGTCCAGAGCTGCTGGGGCTGGCAATCCTACAGAGTGTTGCTGCCTAAATAAGACTTCAGTTGGCTTTAGCCTGATGCTGAATCAACATTCTCCTATTGTAGTGCCCCATCTATATCAGGAATGACATAGATTCTGTTTGGAATATAACTTAACTTCATCTGCTTAGACGGGACTTTCTATCTTGATTATTAGACTTTATCCGACTAGACTGGGCTTTCTAAGATGCTTCTGGTTTACCTGATGAATGCTAATCAAGACAAAATGAAGATGATGCCACAGTTTACTTGCATTTGCTCTTGGAAAAACAGGAAGCTGAACAAATCACAAACTGCATGTACCAAAGTGGAGCATCCCTGCCAAGCTTTTATAGCATCTAGAACTGGCTAGAGTAATGGTTCTCTAAGGGGCTTCATGAATGCGTAGAACCATTCTGCTCTCTTCTCTTTACAGGAATGATGCATGGTGTTTTTATTGTCATTTAAATTCCTGACTCTGAAGATAATTGAGTGAAAATCTACTCCTGCTGAAGCCTCAGTTCCTCCATCTGCAAAATGGGATTTATAAAGCAATTATTTCTCTCCTGAGAGATGGGTAGCACAAATAAATGTTCATGAACAAACACTGCTGAAAGGAAGTCATTCTCTTGCAAGACATATTAGTGTGGAAAGATCTACTTAAAAAAAAAACATGAAAAGCAAATGCCTATGCATATATAAAATGTTGCATAGTTCTGGAAACCTGAGAATATATATTTTTAAAATCTTTTTAAAAAATAAACAAAGCAAAGATTCAAACTCAGGGGTTACACTGAAAATGTAACAAAGCATGACCAAAAGTGGCGGTCTATATGTGTATTTAGTTCTCTTTTTTTACCTCCTTCCCCAGTTTTATCCATTGTCAATAGTGTGCTCTGGAGTCTTAATTGCTTTCTACTCACGGTACGCAACAGAAACCACAAGGGAAAGACTCCAAATGCAACAAATGACTAGAAGAGAAATAATTCTCTGACGTGGTTTACATGTATTACATCCCACTGTGTTTCTGAAAACAGATCTCTTTCTTAGTTAGGGTCCTTCAGCAAACCGCACAGGAGACTGTTAAGCTCTCTCGTCATACAGTCAGACCATCTTGCTTTATAAAGAAAGTACTGAAGTGGGAAGCCCTGACTGGGACTGCTAAAATCCAGACAGCCAACATGGCAGCAGAGAGCCAGAGGTTTTGGTAGTGCTTTGCTGCCAACTAGCAGTCATAAGGATTTCTGCACCTCATATCTGATAGTACCAATTAAAATAATTTTCTACTATAGACC